GTTTATACAATTTCTGCTTATTGTACACAGCACTGCCCCAAAAGGAATATTTGCTTTTCTTTATAACTGTACCAAACGACAGTAACATGCACTAATAATAAGAAATATAATTTTGCTCAAACATGACAGTTCAAGGCAGTCTTTAGAAATATGATTCAATAAAAATGTTTACCAACCTGAAGATCCTGCCTGTTCAAATGTGTTTCTTTGGTTATCTTCATCACAGCACTTCTCATGATGTTGCCTCATTCGAGCCACCAGGCCTTGCATTTCTTTGTTGCAGTGTTTGCAGTTTGCACGCATGCCTGCCTTACCGATAGGTAAAGGAACTTCATTAAAATATTGCCAAACTGGGTCTCTTTTATGGCCTGCTGCCATTATAGGTTTTTTCCTCCAAGGAAAAAATGTGATAAACCTCAGGTCATACACACAAAACGATCCAAAGACTTGTCTGTCTGTGGCTGTGCAGTATTGTGCTCAGAAAGTTTCACTTTCATTTTGTACTGCTTGTCTGCTTGCCCCTTCCTCCTCAGACTTAGTTTCACTTTCTTCTTGTGCAGATCTATTCCACTCCAAACAATCAGAAAAATATTGTTTCTATTCTATTCACTGAACTTCTTGAAACTTAGCACTGAAGGGGTTGATTCTGTATTCATAGGTTTGTAGAACAATAGGATTAAGGTCTTTTTCTCAACTCTGTTCATGTTATAACATTTTTGCTGTGAAGAAGAGGCATGTAATCTCTGCTGAGTCAAATTCAGTTTTGAGAACTGCAAAAGTAAACCAAGCAACTGTGATAATATCTTGTAGGCAGAGAAACTGCCCAATAATCTTACAAAAACCTCTGGAAGAGCATGACATTGTAAATGGATTAATGGAATTTATTTACCAAAAAAATTAAACATATATAGCCTTATTCTACATAATTAAAAAACTAATCTTTATTTCATGATGGAATAACCTTTGGATGGTAATATATTTTCCTCAAAAAGCATTTTATTTAAAAAAATCCGATTTAAATAAAAAAAAATCTGATTTTTTAAATTTTTTTTAAAAAATCATTGATTTTTATCCACCCTGGCTGCTTGCCTCTCCTCAAATTTTGCCTATATGCACAATATTGGGATCAGATACAGAATTGTTATGACCGTTGAGAGAATTTATACAGTTAGATTTCAAAATGATAAAATCTCTGTGGAATGATTAGCCTGCAAGCTCAAAAACAAAAGGAATTTATGGAAAACGGGTCTTTCAAAGACTTGACTGTGATACACAGGGACCAAATTTGGATGTTTTTATTGCTACAGTTGTGTCTTTTGAGGACTTCCTTGGCTTCTTATTCTTGGATCTGAGGATCCTGGTTAAGCAGTCTCTGATAGAATGGGCACTGCCGGCTAAATGCAAGATTTTAGATCTTTTCCTTCAGAGACTTGAATTGAGCCCATCTGCAGACATTTTGGGGTTAGACAACTTAGAACTTCGCCGTCTTAGGTCTGACCTAAGCATAGTACATAAAATCATCTGCTACAATGTCCTACCAGCCAATGAATACTTCAGCTTCAACTAAAACAATACAAGAGCACACAATAGATACAAACTCATGGTAAACCGATCCAAACTAAACTGCAGAAAACGGAGTGGACTACCTGACTGTGATTTCTTCCCCAAATCCCCAAAACTTTAACCTTAAACTGTCTACTGTAGACCTCACCCCATTCCTAAGAGGTCTGTAAGGGGCGTGCATAAGCGCACCAGCGTGCCTACCGTCCCTGTCCTAATGTTTTCTTTTATTCGTATCCTTTTCATGTATTTATAATTATGTTTACACTTATATCTGTCATAAAATACATGCTTGACTAAATTAATTAATTAATTAATTTTGGGATAAAATGATTTCACTCCTGCAGGGGAAGAAGATCTCTTGTATCTGTGGCTTGCCTGTCCCATTCTGAGTTTGTGTGGCCCTGCTGTTCCAGGAAAATTTAAAAAAAAAACAACCCTCTGGATATTGTTTCATTGCAAGTTTAATCTGAAGGCTCAACCATGCATATGCTGCAACTGATAACACAGGAAAACTGTATTCTCAGATGTTGCTTTGTCGAAGGAAGTTATTGTGGACTCAGCTTAGAAGCTGCTCAGTCTTCCAGGAAATGGCTCTGGAGTGGGGGCACCTTGGGAGAAAAGCTGGCTCACTTTCAAACTTTTATTAATCCGACATTGTTGAAACCTCCCCAGTATAATATAAGCAGCCTTATTCTTGTGTTGCAAGAGTCTAGAAGTATTGGATTACAACCCATCACCCACACTGAGCATGGGCTAACTTGTGGTCCAATACATTTTAAGGCTGGTGTACTGTGCTGTAGGATGCATGTAGCTTTGACATGCAGCTTGTGGGGGTCTGTTTTTATTGGCATGGTTCAGCTGCTTTGAGAGAGATGTGGAATTTTATTCTAAACAGGATCTACTTTCATGTCAACAAGCTACAGTTCACAATCACTTTTCATTTTTCCTATGTATTTCCAGTCTTCTCTCATGTAGGTTCTCTGAGGTCATTTCTTTCCCCCTATTCTCACTGGAATCCCCACCTTTGGCCACCTCTGGCAGCCAGCCACCGCAAATTGCTACAGAAAATCTTGGCTTGATGGTGATTTCATATTTTTCTCCAGAAGTTTGTGGCTTGATGAGGAACCTTAAGGAATGAGACATACATGTAGTCAGCCATTAATTAGTACTAGCATTTCTGTTGCTAAGTGATAACAGTTGTGAAATGTGAAATCACATGACTACACTGCTTAGCGACAGCAGTCCTGGCACTTCTGGTTGCTGTTGTTAAGTGAATCCCACACCATCATTTAAATGAAATGTCATGTCTTTGCCATTTGTGACCTCCTGCTGGCTTCCCCATGGATTTTGCCTTATCAGAAGGCGGCAGTGAAAGTCACAAATGGTGATGTTGTGACCGCAGTACACTGCAACTTCATAATTGCAAGCTAGTCATTGAGTGCCAGGATTATCATCCCATGACCACAGAGAAACATTGCAGCGGCCACAGTTATAAGAACTGGTCTTAAAGACCACTTGTGAGTGCCTTCATAAATTTGAACAGCCACTCAATGAGTTGTCATTAAGTGAGAATGTGAATCAATTTCCAAGAGTTTGGGATTTCAGAGTGATACAGTAATGTGTGAGGCGCAATTAAGGGTTCATCTCTCCATCAAGAATTCTCCCGAGGGGAACACTGAATTGGGGGAATGTCTTGGCTGCAGTTGGCCTGAAAAACTTTCTCTGGGCTGCTTTGATTTGTTCTGAGTTTAGATGCTGCACATGCTTTTCCCAGTATTTTTTGTCTTTAAGGGTCAAAACCCAACAACTTTTTCCAATTCAACTTTTTTAAAAAAATAAAATCTGAAAAACATGTGTTCAGTAGGCTCTCTTTTAAACCAGCTTTTATACTAGCTGTGTTAACAGTTTGCAAATGTATTTTTACTAGAGGAATGTAAAAGACTTATATAAGGATTTATTGAATGTACAAGGAAAATTAAAATCTAAACAGGAATTAAATTCTTTAGGACTACAAGTGGATTGGTGGACCTATTTACAGGTTCAATCTAAATTCAAGAAAGATAGAGATGGGAAAGGCATATACATGGACCTACAAGAATTAGATAAAATTTTGATGGGCCAAGAAAAAGGCATGATTTCGAAAAGCTATAAACTGTTAATGAGATTAGAGATAGGCGATGAGATAATTAAAGATACAATGATCGCCTGGGGGAAAAACTTCGGTTACCCAATCCACCTAGACAAATGGCAAGGGATTTGGTGGGAGAATATGAAGTTAGTAGTATCCACGGCATACAAAGAGAACATCTATAAGATGATATATAGGTGGCACCTTCCCCCTGATAGATTGGCTAAAATGTTCACTGGACAATCTGCTGAATGTTGGAAGTGTGGGCTGGAACGAGGCACTTACTATCATCAATGGTGGACATGCCCAGAAGCAGTTAAGTTTTGGGGAAAAATAAAAAAATGGCTTAATGAGATTTTAAAGCTAAAAATTGATTGGGCACCAGAGACATGCTTGCTCGGCTCCAAACCGGATAATATTAAAAAAGACTTATGGTATTTGGCCCTACACATTATCACAGCGGCGAGATTGATATACGCGCAACTTTGGAAAAACAAAAATATCCCATCAGAGGAAGCAATTATAAAAAAGATTTTGGACTGTGCGGAAGCAGATAAACTGACTAAAAAATTAAAAGATAAAGATCAAACTCAAACATGTTTATCCTGGAAAAAATTATATACGTGGCAAGCGAAGAGAAAATCATAACCCAGTTGAAAAGAGGAAAGGTATTTATTGAGAAACCTATAATATACAAATTAAGTGAGGTCGGATAAACCTAATTGATATATAAAGAGATATAAGTCGTTCTATCTCCCTCGGAATATAATGTAGATAAAGTGTATTGAATATTTAGTTGTTAAGATATTACTTGTAGATATGCTTGTTATTTGTTATGTTGTCTTGTATGTTATTTATATAGTGTGTTGTTGTTTTTTATTTTTTAATGAAAAATGTAAAGATTATTTTTTTTAAAAAAAAATAAAAGACTTATTGCAACTCTCAGTCTTTTTTAATTAATAACCTCAGAAACTTGCAGACAAGACAAAATAAACATCAGTCAAAGAAAGAAAAATAAGTTGGGTGTACACTTGTATAATTTGAGTTTTCTGGCATCTCTGTGTAGTTTTAACAGCTCGAGGGTGCATACCTGCTTATCCCTAGAATACTGAATTGAGTCTAGATGATATATATCTCTTTTAATTACATGTACCTCTGCTTTCAGTTGTTTGGATGGTTCAGCAACTCTAGTGGTGGCTATTAATCCTTCTCTGCTTTGTTAAGTATCATCAGGAATGTAGTTGTACCAAAGTCTTTGTTTGTGAACTTGTTCTGACTTGCCTCTCTGTTTGCCTCTCCGGTTCCACAGGTATAATCTCTATGCCCACACCCGGCTGGGCTACCTGTTATATAAACGACAGATAAAGAAGGCACGCCAGCGTTATCCCCAAGGACACTCAATTCCCCAGCCTGTGGAGTTCAATGGTGAGAGCTTTTTGAGAAGCACTAACTGGATTCGGGATAGTGAAGAAATCCTGTCATAGAAAGTAACTTTTCTAGCCCCGGGGTGGGGGGTGATTTTATTATATTAATTTATTATATGACTCTTCTTTTATTAGTTTTATTGTTGTTATATGAGGTTTTATATTCTGTAAGCTGCCATGTGCGAATAGGCAGCAATATAAATTCCCTAAATAAAATTTAACTAACTAACTAACCTCTTGAGATGGCCCAAAGTGAATTAATGAGTCAAATTAGGTCTATATGTTTGGGATTCAATCATACTTGTACTAATGCTCCTGAATTGGGCAAACAATTTGTACAGAGCAGGTTTTTATACATCTGCAAAATTCTTGTCAGAAACCTTGGGAAGGACGGCAACCAGTTTCACAGTTTGATCTTTGAGATCAGCTGAGATTGCAGCACGTTTGACGGAAGATACAGCAAGATCACTGTACTTGAACTTCTATGCCTCCAGCATCCAGCTTGAAATTACTGAGCATTGTTCTCTATCGTTCATTAGACAAGGATATTCAAAGAACTTACATCTCTCTAAGACAGGAGGGTCAAACTCAATTTCATTGAGGGCCGCATCAGGGTTGTGTTTGACCTCAGGGGGTGTGGCCATGGTGGGCGTGGATAGCTCAATGTCACTCTGTTTTTGGCTGTGACAGCCTCCTGCAGCCCTCTGCCAGTGAAAACGGAGGCTGGGGGACGGGGCGCACATGGCCCTCCCAGGCTCCGTTTTCGCTGGCAGAGATACTGTGGGCCGGTCCTTCGCTGAATTCAGGGCAGCCCCATGGGCCAGATCTAAGCACCCCGGAGGGCCAAATGCGGCCTGTGGGCCTTGAATTTGACACCCCTGCTCTTAAGACTTAGAAAGCTGCTGGACTGCATAGGCCAATTTTTGTTTCCTCTGATTGTGATGTCTCATTATCTTTAAAAAAAAATCTTTTAAACAATTATTCAAGTGGGCCAACAAAATATAGGTCCAAATAGCAATATAGATATTACAGCTTCAATGGAGAGTTTTTTGGGCTCATTTTCCTGCTTTTCTTCCTTCTTTGCTTTCTGTCTGTTTTCCCAGGTTTGAAGATCCTTCCCATCCCTGTCCTGTCTGATAATTACAGCTATCTTGTGGTTGACACAGGTTCCAACAGTGCAGTGGTTGTGGACCCTTCTGATCCTTTGGCTGTACAGGTGAGAAACCAGATGTGATACCTCTCTTCCAGAAGTGAAGATCAGAAGATTTCAGGACTGTGGGTCTACTTTTTCTAGTTTAGTGAGGGATATGGAACCCATGAGTGCCCTAGAAATTGCTAAATTACCTTCCATTACTTCCCTTAAAATTGGTCCTGCTGTTTAGGATTACAGAACATTGATTTTTAGCAATAACCAAGTTCTTCCAGTTCCCTGCTCCTGTTGTGATTTTTAGAAGCAATCAAATGGTGTTGGGTATAAAATCTCGTTTTAAAGGGCATAAATACTCTTAGCAAAATTATGTAATAGGATGTTTCTGTGCATGTGGCTGAGATAAAGTAATAGGTTTGGATGCTAGAATTGGCTTTAAAGTCTGATCATATAAATATCCAGTGCTGTTCTTCATTTGTTTTTTTCATCTCAGTTACTTAAGTCAGTCATGGCAGGAACATACGTTATTTTTGTTATTATTGCTGTTTAGCAATTAGCAATCAAGATCTTTTCAGATCTATTGCAAATCACCCACGAATCTAGTAATACATGCTGTTTTGTTTTTGCCTCTTCTGCTGTATAAAGTGGATCAAATATGGATGTTTGAAATCCAGAAAGGGAAATTGCCATTCTTACCAATGCTTTTAAATAGGCTCAAGCTGTCCTGTTAAAAAGAAGGACTTGGGAATCAGTTGAGCTGCAAGCATATTTAATATCCAGGCAGTGGTCTATGCAATTGAGGAATTGTCTGCTTTGGCTGTGGCTTCTGGAGTTGTTATCAAAGCCAGCTGGAGAATGACAGGTTGCCATGACCTGCTATAAGTTCATAGAGATGTTAACCAAGCATGAATCGTGGAAAGGGAGTGTGAAAAAGTCCCTTGGATGAATTAGACTAAGTTTTGTACAAGTTGGCCAAAAGGAAAATAGTGTAATATCATATTTTTGGGAAAGAACTAGCATTTCTCAAGAATTGATCCCAAGCTTGATTCCTAGGAAATGAAAAATTTTGGATTCTTCTTCTTCTTGTGCCATATCGGTCATCGGATGTTGGCAATCCTATTTTTGTCAACAGCCACATGAAAAAGTGCTGCTGAGTTTTATCCAAGCTAGTCCCTTAGGTTTTGAAGCCATGATGTTCTTCTTCTGCCTGGACCTCATTTGCCTTCAAACTTTTTCAATCTTCAATCAATTCTTCTACCCTCCCTAATTCCAAATGGTCAGTATTTAAATCCTTCCTCTGGCAAAGTCCTTGATAGGCCAGCTATCTTCTACTATCCCATAAATCTCAATGCTTCTAGGAGGGGACATTTGTAAAAGACCTCCTTCCACACATAAGTGCTAATTTAACATTTATAAGTAGCCCTTGTTTAGCAACCACAATTTGGACTAGCAGCTCTGTTGTTAAGTGAAGTGGTTGCTAAGTGGAAAATCACATGACCACAACTGCATTCCTTTTTTCCATTCCCCTGCCATTTAGTATGTTCATCCCAACACCAGGGTAATTAACAAAAAGCGAATTAATATTTGTAATTACATTAATTGAAGAGGAAGGGATTACAAGAAAATCAGGCACAAAGTGGGGAATACATATATAAAAGAATAATGTGGTACCAGCAACCTCAACTGTGCTACGCAACAGCCCAGTGTATTCCTGAGAGCAAGGGGGAAGGAGTAAAAATAATCAAAGCAATCTGAGCAATCTCTACTGTGCCTGATCCATTCAAGAGTTCTGGTGGTGCAGTGCTTAAAATGCAGTATTGCGGGCAAACTCTGCCCACAGCCCAGAGTCTGATCCTGAAAAGGCTCAAAGTTGACTCAGCCTTCTATCCTTCTGAGATCTTCTATAAAGGATTATAAGAGAATAAGCAAGCATATAATGGGGAATATACCCACATTGTGATCCTTTCTTACCCAATCTCTTTGTTCTGCAAGGGGAACGGAATAAAAACCACAGCTCTGGTACAGGATAATACATACTGAATGTAATGATGATTACACGACACAGAGACATTGCAAAAGTCATAAAAGCAGGCATTGATTGTAAATTTATTTTTTTCAGCACTATTGTAACTTCAAATGGTCACTGAATGAGACAATTGGTAAGCAAGGTCTACGGTATCTACGTAGAACCTGGAGAACTATAGCCATGATCATAGGAGGATATTGGGGTATAGCAATAGCACTTAGACTTACATTCCGCTTCATAGTGCTTTACAGCCCTCTCTAAGCGGTTTACAGAGTCAGCATATTGCCCCCAACAATCTGGGCCCTCATTTTACCCACCTCGGAAGGATGGAAGGCTGAGTCAACCTTGATCCTGGTGAGATTTGAACTGCCAAATTGCAGGCAGCCTGCAGTCAGCAGAAGTAGCCTGCAGTACTGCACTCTAACTACTGTGCCACCGAGGCTCAGTATAAGAAAGAAACGTATAAGAAACTACTACACTTATAAGAAACTTCACCAAACTACAATTCTTCAAAGTATTTCCAACCTTCCCAAACCTGGCACTCTCCTGGATTTATTTGGATTGAAATTCTTAGCCAGTATGGAAATTCTGGGAATTGGCAGTCACAAAACATTGAGGTGCCAGACTGTCATTAAACTGAGACCTGGCGCAATTTACTTTTCATAGTATTGAATTACAAATCAGGAAGTTCCTGTATTCAACTTATTAAGCAATCTCAAACAAGCCTCTCAGCCGTAATTCATAATGTACGGAAAGTACCTGATCTAAATTCACTACACTTACAAATCACTGTACAGATCAAAACAAGATAACGTATCTATTCTTACTGTCTTTATATCCCAGGTTTCTATTTACTCCAACAATCAAGACAATTTACAGCAATTAAAATATACAGAGTATAAAACATTAAAAAATTGGCTAAAACCAAAGCCAGAATTAAATGCAGTCATTAACAGAATTTACATGAAACGGTTGGTAAATGAAATGTGTTTTACCATTTTCTTAAATAGTGAGAGAGCAGGAATCAAATGCATCTCCTTATAAGGAGTGTATCCATAGCCTGGAAGTAGATAAGAGAAGGCCTTTTCTATTTTAGTAAGTACAGTAGTTGCCCAACTCATGCATGTGAGACTGGCTGTCTTACTAGAATTCTAACCCCAGAATTAAACAGACAAATGCATGAAACATAACTGCCCATGCTCAAGGATAAACAGTCAATCTTACACACCATTAATATTAATAGAGCTCATCTATTCACCTGACTCAAATGCCTGGGATGCAGCCAGGTCTTCAGAGCCTTGCAAAAGACTAATATAGATGGAGCTGTCCAAATCTGGAGAAGATGCTGTTCCACAGGGCAGGAATGTGTCATTGAGAAAGCATGATTTATGGCTTTTGTACTAGATCCAGAGGGGTGGGCAGAAACAATAGAAAAAAGGAGATGGTCCCTGACAATCAAATTTCTGGCAGACGGGGCATTTCAGTAAGGCATCGTTTCCTGATCAAAAGCACTGCGCATGTCCATACTGAGTTAGCCAGTTTTGCAAATAATTGTGCCTTAAGCTTTAGTTCAATGCCTGCACCTTAATTTGTGCCTAGAAAGCACTTGATAACTAGTGCAAGCATTTGTCAGCAGTCTTGATGCTACATTCTACATCAGTTTTAATTTCTGGCCATTTCCCCTATTTAAGTACATTACAGTACAAGGATTGTAAACAAGGCATGGATCACCCTCACTGACTGGCTCAGGGAAAGATCATAGCTGGAACGCTAGCCATATTTGCCAAGCACATTTTTCATCAGAGTTGCCACCTGCTAATTGTGGGGAGCCAATGAGTAACCTTAAACATCAAACTAGCGTTCTCTGGAAACAGTAGAGCATGGGTGTCAAACTCGCTGCATCACATTGCTGTCATGTGACGTATTGCGACATTCTTCCCCTTCGCAGAGCTGGGGTGGGTGTGGCCTATGCGTGATGCATCTGGCCCATGGGCCACCAGTTTTACCCCCTGCAGTAGAGCATGCTGATTATATCTTTTAAAGCTCTGCATGACCTCCAAATGTTTCATATAGACAGCATTCAGAGAACAAAAATCTTATAGAACAGCATAAATGAAAGCCAAGGCATAAAATTGCAGTTTCTGGGCATGGCCAAACAAAATTGACAGAATCACTTACAATAGTTTGCCCAGCACTGCCCATAAATTTACCATAATCAGTGACAAAATAAGGCACTGAGGTCTAAAGGAAATAAACAGATCATACTCCATCTAGTTTTTAACATAGGTTATCTAGTAAAGCAGGTGTATCAAATTCAAGGCCCGGGGGTTGGATCCGGCCCGCATGTTGCTTAGATCTGGCCTGTGGGGCCACCCTGAAAACAGTGAAGGACTGGCCTGCAGTGTCTCTGCCAGTGAAAACAAAGCTCTGTTTTCACTGGCAGAGGGTTGCAGGAGGCGGTCACAGCTGAAAACGTAACTCAGGAACCCGTTTTCGCTGGCAGAGTGCTCGGCCCACCACAGGAGCCCCCGACACAAGTGACATTGAGCTGCCCATGCCTACCATGGCCATTCCCACCCTGGCCTCCCAAGGTCAAATACAACCCTGATGTGGCCCTCAATGAAATCGAGTTTGACACCCCTGTAGTAACGTGACCAAAGGAGTCTCAGTACCACAGCCCAGATGAAAATAAGTAGAACATTAAGTAGAAGGCAGTGCCAACTGTCTGTTAAGTACTAACAGTTATTGTACTTCTATTTTAATTTGCTAAAAGTAAATCACTATAGTTTTCTTGATCTCTCTTCTCCCCCACCTTTTTTTAAAAAAAAAATTTTTTTTTAAAGGGTAGTCAGATCTGTTTTATGATCCTTTGTCTTCAGCTGCTTCAGATTGGTCTGTTCATGACTCTTGGCCTGGAAATCCTGTTAAGGCTCTTATTATCATGAAGTTATTTTTTATATACAGTGCTTGGCTTGATAAATGGTATGCCATTTGATCTCCACCTATTGTCCCATCCAAGGGCACATTTGTTTGATTCTCCTTTGACTTATTATTTGCAATCTGCAAAGATCTTTAAGGGAACATAAATCAATTGGCTTCTGTCTTCCTCTTTTCTACTGTTTAGCATGGACGATACTATCCTATTAAGCAGTGGGTCTCAACCTTCCTAATGCTGCAACCCTTTAATACAGTTCCTCATGTTGTGGTGACCCCCAACCATAAAATTATTCCTAAAACCATTGAAAATATATGTTTTCGGATGGTCTTAGGCGACCCCTGTGAAAGGGTCGTTCGACCCCCAAAGGAGTCCTGACCCACAGGTTGAGAACCACTGCTATTAAGGAAAAGACTCCTGGCTCTTCAAGTCTGCTTCTTGCTGCTTCCCTCCCCTCTGAAGGAAAGCAGTTGATTAAGTAATAGCTGGCTACTTCCAAGAGTAAGAGCAGCAGCAAGGTTATATAGCAATAGCACTTAGACTTATATACCGCTTTATAGTGCTTTATGGCCCTCTCTAAGCGGTTTACAGAGTCAGCATATTGCCCACAACAATCTGGATCCTCATTTTACCAAACTCGGAAGGATGGAAGGCTGAGTCAACCTTGAGCCTGGTGAGATTTGATCTGCCAAACTGCTGGCAGCCAATGATCATCAGAAGTAGCCTGCAGTACTGCTCTCTAATCACTGCGCCACCGCGGCTCTTTAGGGATTATATGATCAAAATCCCTTCCTTCCTCCTTGGGGTTTCTCTTCTTCAGAAACACCTGTCACACTGGCTATTCCTGTTATTCTCAAGGACCAGCTCTTCACTTTTGTTCAGATGTGATTGGAATAAAATGTCAAGTGTAGCTGAGTGAGAGGCCAGAGGGAGAGCTTAAGAGAGAAAGATCAGGTATCCAGAGTCAGAATGGGACCATGAGAGGATGAGTTTTGCCTCCCATCCCCTTGGGATTCCCGTCTCTCCCCCAGGGGTTCTATCAAAGCCAGCTTGTTCTAGGCAGACATCTCTAAACGCAGCTCCCAGCTGGCTGAGAGTTACCCAGGTTGTATATTTAGAGGTAGTCAGCTGGGGACAGAGCTGTTGTGATTTTGTTTAGTGAGCAGGTGCTGAGCAGCTATCTGGAAGTATTGATTGCTGGATGAGAACTAGAAAATTGAAATCCCTTCCTTTTGAAGGAGTGGGTTCATGTTTCACAAGAGCTTCTGTTATTTGGTGCTGTTCCTAAGGGTGCCCATCATGCCAAGGTTTTAGCTTGAGTCCATCTTTTCCTAGACTAAAAGAACATAACTTATTGAAGTCAGGATAATATTTGCACGACTGGATTGGTGCAATGTCTGTAGATTTGTGATAGAGTGCTCTCAGCAGCAGGGCACAATATGCAATCCCCTCCCACTAAAATGCTGGTAGTTCTCATGTAGATAACGGCGAAAAACGTATCTGCTCATTCAGATATTTGCGAGAAAATGCAGCAGTAGTTGAAACCAGGGGTAAAATTCAGCAGGTTCTGAGTAGTTCAGAGAACCGGCAAATACCACCTCTGGCTGGCCCCAGAGTGGGGTGGGAATAGATTTTGCAATATCCTTCCCCCAGGAGTGGGGAGGGAATGGGGATTTTGCAGTATCCTTCCCCTGCCACGCCCACCAAGCCACGCCCACAGAACTGGTAGTAAAAAAATAATAATTCCACCACTGGTTGAAACCATTTAATGCTGGTTATGTTATTGTTAATTGGTATCTTCTGCTTTTTTATTGGAAAGTTTAATTACTATATTATGATACAGTGTTCGGCACACTGCTCTGGTTCTTTTAAGAGGAAAGGTGATATCTAAGTAAAGTGAATAGTTTTCAGATATGAAGATGAAGTAACTACGTAGTGTCATAAAGGCAGATAATTACTCTTATCTGTTAAAAAAATAAACACCATTAAATCAAACCAGAAGATCATCTTAGAAGGGCATTTTTGTAATGGTTTCTGGTACAGAAATCAATAACACTATTTATGAGACTAATGTTAAAGGTATAACAAATAGAGCCCAGCACAGCTAGACAAAAATTCCCAAGTTAATGACAGTTTGAACACTAGATGGAGCAGGCACTTTTGTGTTTTTGATGGAATAATGGCCCATAGTCTTCCCTGGACATAAAGCTTACATATAACTCTCTAGGAGCAGTAGGAAAGGAAATTAGCCTACTAAATCAGAAACTTCAACAACTGGTAATACTTGGCAGTGACACTAAAACAGCAGTCAAGTGTGATCTTGTATAGGTGGTGCAATCGTGTTTATATGAACTTACTGCCCCTGCCACCAAACTCCTGTTCAAAAGACTCTGGCCTCCCCTCCACCCTTCTTCTCCTGCCCTAGGTCCTCTTTACACAAAGTAGCAGAATCTGGGCAATCTCGGGTAGTGCGCTTCTCAGCTTTTTCCTTTCCCGACATAAATATAGGCTGTGCGTGCGTGCATGAACATGGACATCCGCCACAAAGCATTGGGCCTAAGGCAGCTTTGACCTTTTCCTTTTGGCTGATTTCTGATCAAAACCACATCTTCCTCTTCTCCACCCCCCCACCCCCCCATTGCTTTATCAACTGTCAGAGAGGAAAGATACAGATCTGAAAATAGCTGTGGAACTGCAATTTCAATATAAAACCCCTCCGGCACCACCAACCCCCCTTTTTAGTTCCGTGACTCTGTTTTTTACAAAAGCAGAAGCGGGAGAAAGAGAGAGAGACTGAAACCCTGGATCCCTCGTGATATATATTGCTCGTTTGCCTTGATTCTCTCCTGCAATGTGGTAAGAGATATACCTCTATTCTGATAGAGGAACATATTACACAACAATTACCACAACAAACAATAAACCGCTCCAATAACAATAAACAAGGTAAACCGCTCCAAACTTGATTGCAGAAAATATGACTTCAGCAACAGTGGTCAATGCCTGGAATGCACTACCTGACTCTGTGGTTTTTTCCCCCAAACCTAGGGGTGACATCTACTTACCTTCCTTCCGGTTCGGAAGCGCATGCGCCACACGCATCATGTGCACTCAGATCTTCTGCGCATACGCAAAACCGCATGCGCAGAAGGTAAAAAACCAGGAAGTAATGACACCCAGGTGGGTGGCATCGCTACCAGATCGCCGAACCACCAGCCAAGATCACTACCGGACCAGGCGATCCGGTCTGATCTGATCCAGGAGCATTTCACCCCTGCCCAAACCCCCAAAACTTTAACCTTAGACTGTCTACTGTTGACCTCACCCCATTCCTAAGAGGTCTGTAAGGGGCGTGCATAAGAGCACCAGCGTGCCTACCGTCCCTGTCCTAATGTCCCTTTTTACTCGTATCCTTTTTTATGTATTCAAATCGTGTTTATATTTTTATCTGTTATCTTATATATGCTTGACAAACAAAGCCTTTGTTTGTCCCTTATATATGTCCCTTATATATGCTTGACAAACGTGGCCTTTTATGGATCACTCCTTGTAGCTTGATGAAGGCTTCCCTAGGCTGCTACAGAAAGCTTCCCTCTGCCCTGTCAGTATGGACATCAATCTCTCTCTCTCTGTGCCTTCTCCCTTCTTTTCCCAATCCCTGTTTTAATCTCCACCGCTAACCTTTTCCTCTTAGAACAAAGATACTCTGAAAATAATCCTCACAGAAGAATGGATAGAAAACGTCTCAATTTATTTATTTGTTTGTCTGTCGCTGGAGCCCTCTCCAACCATTGTTCCTTTAAAAAAAAAAAAAAAAAATATGGACAATATATGGAAACTAGTTGGAACCCTATAATTTTACAATTTTATTTTCTTTCTGTGATGAAGAAAACCATTTAACATTGAAAAATCCTATCATGTCTGCTAAGGTTCCTTCCAGTTAGCATATCTCTCACCCTCCATGGCCCACTTCCATAAAAGGAAACGGGGTGGGGGGGAAGAACCCAAAAGGTATGCTATTACATCTGCAAAATAATGCATGCGTACATCTGTAATCCTTTTTTTTTCATCTTCTTCAAAAGATGATGATGATGTGGGAGTCTTCCTGGAGCAAACTTCCATCATGCACCTGCTTAGTTAGATGCCTTACCTGAATCCACATTCAAGTGGGAGGGGGAAAGGTATGTATATAGTGGAATCAGAACAGTGCTTGAATTCCTTTTTTTTTTTTTGCCACACAGAGAGTGATTCAGGAAGAGAAAGTGACACTGGAAGCTATCCTGTGTACTCACAAACATTGGTAAGGGATTTCTTTTTTTCCCTTTTCTTGATGGGTTGCCGACAAGGGGGAATGTCAGGAAACTTTGAATTGTGTGTATACCAAGTAAAATCTTAGCAGAAAAGTGTTGTTGCTATCAGTTAAGTGTGATTAGGACAAATGTGTGCATGTGAGAAAATTTACCCTTTCCTTGGAAGAAATCTGACCCGCGGGGTGCTTAGATCTGACCTGCGGGACCACCCTGGAAAGGATTGGTCCACGGTGCCTCTGCCAGCGAAAGTGGAGTTTGGGAGGGCCGCACGCGCCCCTCCTGAGATCCATTTTCGCTGGCAGACAGTTGCAGGAGGCCGTCCCAGCTGGAAATGGAGATTGGGAGCCCGGTTTTGCTGGCAGAGTACTTGGGCCACCACAGGTGCCCCCGGCCCGAGTGACATCAAGTTGGCCATGCCCCCTGGCCACACACACCCCAGCCCCCCCAAGGTCAAACACAACCTTGGTGTGGCCCCCAATGAAATCGAGTTTGACACCTCTGCAGTCTAGCTGGCTTTATTGGAGAATATGCCTGTAGACGTGGTACTGCAATCATGATGGAAGTAAATTAAGATGGTCATTTGGTGCTTTCATAGTTAAATGTGTCTCCTCTGTCAGGGATCACAGTGGAGGCAACACAACCCTGCGGCGGCGATATGGCTCCTGCAGAGTCTTTGGAAGCAGCTTTGATGACATTCCCGAACTTACAGAGTAAGTGATCTTTGATTTCTGCTCCCCTTTGGTAAAGGTGGGTATAAAACATGTTGGGCTTACAGTGTGAAGATCCCTTCTCAGCTAGAAATGTTTTGGAGATTGCATTAGAGAGATAATAGTATGGTCTTGAGAGTGATGGAGAATGATGGCCCTCCTCTCCTGTTCATCTAAATATAAGACGACTCGCCTTATTGTTTTGTGTTCATCTAAATATTATAAGACGACTTGGCATTGGTTCTCTGATGTCCCTTTCAGCTTGTGACCATAAACATGCTGTTCCTTTTCAGTCCCGTCACGGACAAGGAGACTATAGTGATTGGGCGCCTGAACTTCAAGGCTCTCTTTACTCCAGGTCACACTGTAGGGCACATGGTCTATGTCTTGGATGGGAAACCGTTTGAAGGTCCTAGCTCTCTCTTCTCGGGAGACCTCCTCTTCCTCTCTGGCTGTGGTAAGTTTCCAGTTGAAGGAGGAAACCAACTTGGCTTCCTTGTATTGCAGGCTCAACCTCATGAATTATTTCTTCATGAATTATGAGCTGCGGTGGCGCAGTGGTTAGAGTGCAGTACTGCAGGCTACTTCTGCTGACTGCCTTCAATCCGGCAGTTCGATTCTCACTGGCTCAAGGTTGACTCCGCCTTCCATCCTTCCGAGGTGGGTAAAATGAGGACCCAAATTGTTGGGGGCAATATGCTGACTCTGTGAACCGCTTAGAGAGGGCTATAAAGCACTGTGAAGCGGTATATACCCTGTTTCCTCCAAAATAAGACATCCCCTGATAATAAGCCCAATCGGGCTTTTGAACGCATGGCAGTAAGGCCAAGAGCTTATTTCATGGTCCAAAAAACTATGAGACGGTCTTATTTTCAGGGAAACACAGATAAGTCTAAGTGCTATTGCTATTGCTTCCCCAGTGGGAATTGTGAATATTGCCTCTGTTAGCCATTGGAGGGCAGCAGACACCTCTGCAAGCATCTGGAATGGCCTCCCAGTACCTAAAACATGGAAATATGGACCCTCCTATCTGAAATTATGTAGTGGCTTTGAAGGTGGGAACAAATGCATCAGTAGATGCAGTATGTGAAGAGGAAACCAACTGTTACATTGAAATATAGGCAGCGAAGTGTCTCTCATGTCTTTCATTGAATGAATTTGTTCCTTGTGCTCTCTAGGTCGGATCTTCGAAGGCACACCAGAAACAATGCTGGCTTCATTAGATATAGCAGCTGACTTGGCTGAAGATACCCTGCTTTGGCCAGGTAGACCATGCATCACCTTTTTGTCCTGCTTTTTTCCAGTTTCTGAACTTGGAATGAAAAACTACATTCTCTCCCATTTGGAGTACCTTTCCACCCTTCCCAAGCCTTGCCTTACTTCCTTGTACCCTCATGCATTGTATCCTACCTGGCATTACTTACCTGCTTGCAAGCCACCTGGGATTTGCAACTTCCAGCCAGCTTCCCCACTGATTTGGGTCACGGAAGACTGGCAGGAAGTTGCCTCACCTAATGATCGTGGGATTCTAACAACAGCAACTGGGACTGCAAGGATTGCCATTGCTAAGCGATGTGGTCATGCTTTATAACCACATCTTGTCGTGGTGGAGATTCCCATCCCCATTGTTACCGTAAATTGATAACTACCTGTGCGGAAGCCAAGCCCACCTGAATGACCTTCATCACTGATCCAGTGATGGTTCTGAAATTATATTGGACCACTTAAAAAACTGCCTGGAGGTTGCCCCGAGGATTCTATAGCAGTCTGTGTGATCCCCAAAGAAAAACCACTGTTTTTCCACAAATTAAGCGGCTTAAAATACAGAAGTAGCAGAGATGTTGAGGGGCCCTGGATGATTACACTGTATTGACTGTTCATCCTTTTTCTTTAGGGCATGAGTATGCACTTGAATGCCTAATGTTTGCAAGCCTTCTGGAGGCAGAAAACCCCTTTCTAAAACAGAAGCTCCAGTGGGTGAACCAACAGCGGCTTGAAAAGAGAAGCACAGTAAGGAGTGGCTCTGTTTGTATGGGATGTTTCTTTCATGGTAGGGCAGGGGTCTGCAACCTGCGGCTCTGGAGCCGCATGTGGCTCTTTCATCCCTCTGCTGCGGCTCCCTGTCACTCAAAACATGCATCACAACCGCCAATGTGCAACACCCGCCGGCACGCGATTTATTGAGCTTTTCGACCTATTTTTTTTTTCAGAGTTCAAAATGTTTTTGTTGCATGCAGAAATAAAAATTTGCTTTCTCTGTAGCAGTTCATTGATTACATATATGCAACACATAAAGGTAAAAAAAGATACATGCAGCATTATCTTCATTTTAGATGTCAAAAGGGTTTTGTGTTTTCTTTTCTGTGGGAAATGGGTCCAAATGGCTCTTTGAGTGTTTAAAGTTGCCGACCTTAGGTTGCCGACTAAAGGGAGAAAGGGAAAATATACACAGCTGTTGGAACTGTTTCATTCTAAAAGAAATTACCAACCACAATGGCTTCCCACCTTCTCCTGTGGTAGGGGATCCATTTGTCACCCCAAAGAAAACCTGGGGTGGAGAAGGTAGGAAGCCATTGTGGTTGGTAATTTCTTTTAGAATGAAACAGTTCCAACAGCTGTGTATGTTTTCCCTTTCCCCCTTTAGTTGCCATGTAGCACTCAAATAATCTTCATTTAAAGAACACAGTTGGGACAAGCAACTCATATCATTAACTATACATGGGCATGACAGGCTTATATCATTCCCACTTGGCTGTTAACAAGTGACAGTCTTTAAGCGAGACATCACCTGACCCCCCCCCCCCCCCGCCCACTTGCAATTTCACTGCTGGCTACTCCATTGACTCTACTTATCAAAAACTGTTTGTGAATCATATGATCATGTGGTATTCATATGATCGCAGCATGCTGCATTGATCAGAAACACCCACCAGTTCCAAAGTGTCCAATTCTTTGATCCTATAACTCTGGGGATACTGCAGTAGTCCCAAGCGTGAGAATAGATGATAAAGTAAACTCATCAGTGCCATTGTAGCTTTGAATGGTCACGAAACAGAGCAGTCCTTAAGTGAGGATACCCTCCCAGGTTAGCATTTAATAGATTAGAGGCAATACAGTCATCGGATCAAAGCAGCTTGAAGAGTGATGTTTTATTATTTATTATTTAGTGTTTTATTAGCAGAATGTTGCATGTCTGGTTATGCTGTACTCCAGGCAATTAATTTTTTCAAGGGGCCACATAAGAAACTGGGACCATTATGGACACTGTAGCCTTCCCCCCTCCCCCCCCCGATGCTGCCGCCACCCCGACACTGCTACCGCTTCTGATGCTGATGTTCTGCTACTGACCGCTATGGCCTGGACAGGGGTAGACTCTGGGCTACATGTGGCCCGTGGGCTATAAAACGCCCAGGTCTGCTCTACCCCCCTTCTTATATTCCAATGAATCATGGAGGTATGTCTTAAAAAACGCCCTTTTGTTTAGATAATAGTCTTTGCATGTTTCTATCATGGTTATCTTCCTTATTCTCTGCAAAGTACCTATTGCTGACTTTTTTTCCCCATTCAGAATAAGTAACCCGCTAATTCTCTGCCCCACAGTGTCCTTCCACCATTGGTGAAGAAAAACAGTATAATCCTTTCTTACGGACTCACTGCCAGGAGATTCAGGAATCCATGGGCCTCCAGCGCCAGAGGGATGAGGAGTGGGACAGTTTCCGGGCCCGGGTACTGAAGGAAGTGCGACTACGAAAGGATGTCTACAAAGCAAACCTTTAAGTAAAGAGTCCAGTCTAGTGTCGGAGCTGAATCAGACTTCTGCAAGGAGCAGTGCAGACACAAAATGGATTTTGTCACACTGAGAAACATCCAACATGGATCACTGGTCTTTACACCACAACATGATGGGAATGGCTGTTTTACTTGATCTTTTCCGTCAGAAACTCTGATTCCAGTGCTGTTTATCCATTTACTATGACAAGTGGGATCACAGCCTCCCAGGAAGAGTCTCACCTCATGGATGGAAGAGCAGATTTTTTTTGAAAACCCAACATGCATCCCCAATTCCTACATGCTGTTTTTCTGCAGGAAGGGATGGCACAGCATATAGCAAAGTGTCACTGAAACAGTTTTTGTGGGTTTAAGCAAAGTCTCTTGCAATTCACTACAAGGGCGACTTCTCTTGTTTCCATTAGAGACTAATCCATGTGTGGAAACTGAGGCTATTTTTTGTCTTCCAGTTGTTGACTGGCACTTGAGAAGGAAGTTTGGCCTCCCCCCCCCCCCTTCCTCGGCCAAACCTTTTCTTAAGAACCAAATCATCTTGCAACTTGCAACCGTGTATGTTCACGGAAGTTTGTTACTATATACTTTTGTTCCACTTTCCCCTCTTTTAATAGAACTGTGAAGATTGGAATAACATCTACCACTACACCATGCACAGATTTTTTGAAATGTCCAGGCTCAGATCAAGCATGTCAGTGTTAATGGAAAGTCTCTCAGCTCTCACTCTTCATAAAACCCCAGGCCAAAAATTGCTTAAATTCCTGTGAGAACAGGAGAATGGAAGTAGGAAGCTTGTTTGGAAGATACTACTGGTCTTTCAGCCTTCCTTCGACAGATCCCATGCAAGTTGCTTCCAGAAGATTGTGTAGGGCAACTTTGTGATATTTAACTCAAGTGTCTCAGGACCATTGTCTTGAACTTAGTATTTGTGTTACTGTAAGTAATTATAGTGACTGTTATCTACAATTGAACTGAGCAAAGGGTTTGAAAGAGATGCTTTATAACATGTAACAATGTGAGTAAAGCGCTTCACATGGGATCATTAAAGCAGCCCTGTCTTTTTCCAAGCTTGTGCAGCTGTTTTGAAAGGGATTCCTGAGCCAAGTGGCTAAATCTACACATTCATGATTTTTGCACCTGTGAAGTACCTTCTGTGAATGCTTTGCACAGCCAAGTATAATTTAATTCCAATTAGTCTCTTATTTGTTACAGCACAAAGTCTTTATCAGACCAGGTTTTTTTTTAATCTTGAATGAAATAGGAAATAGTCTTTTGTGATGCTATTTTGTTTGGCGTAAGAGATTTGTCAGCTATACTCTTCAGTTTGGCTTGCTTTCTCAGAGTCTGTGAACATTGCATTCTGGAACAGAGAAATTTGGAACACTTTTGATTTGTATGTACTACTGGGAAATGTTTGCCAAATGTTGACATTTTATGATACCACTAAAATGAAATATCCAGAATTGATAATGCTGTATCTTGCCTGCTGAATCTCAGGGAAAATATTTTTAGAGTCCTTCAAAATTGAACAATGACTTTTAAAGCAATCTTATTGTGAATTTGGAATCTACACAGCTTTGTCAAAAAGGGAATACATCAGAGGGGCTGAAGACTAACCTGTGGAAGTTATATGTTGGAAATAAAGTCACTATGGAAAGGCAGTGATCTTCTCTACACTCTGTTATTTTCAGGCTGCAATATTACATACATTTGTAGTAGTAGCTATTTCTCCAGTGTTTATCCACTTCTTATATTACCAGAACAGAAGGGGAATCACCAGCCATGAAGATTTAGAATCTATTTAGAACTGACTGAAGAAGCCCTATTCACCATGGAACACGTGGCTGTTGGAAGAGATGGTGGCTAAGAGATGGGGAAAGCAAATCTATGGCTGTTTGTCACAAATGATGTAGACCAAGGGTGTCAAACGTTGTCATGGCAGCGTCACGTGATGTATTGGGACTCCCCTCCCCTTCACTAATTTGGGTATGGGAGTGGCCAGCACATGACACATCTGGCCAATGGGCCAGGAGTTTGACAGCCCTAATGTAGACCTTCTTTAGATTCAGAAGGAACATGCTTTAGAAAATCAGCTGTTGGAGAGCAGTCGTGGGGATATGAACTGTTGCCTTCAGATATTGTTTCTGGACTTAGCTGAGGCACGACATTGGAATAAAGTTGTTCAGTCCAATTAAAATGGATATTTTCTCAGGTACAGATGGATTTGACTATCAAGATTCTTATTTTTACCAAATTATAAAATGAAAAATGAAATCTGGAACTACACTAAAAATAATCATACTGCATTTTGGCTCCAGAATATTTATTTTGACATATAAAATTGATTTTTATGTTCATGCTGCCATTAAAGAATGGGCTTCTTTATTTTATTTTATTTTATTTTATTATTATTATTTAAATTTTTATACCGCCCTTCTCCCGAAGGACTCAGGGCAGTGCACAGCCAACACTAAAACGCACATATACAAAAAATTTAAAAGCAATTTAAAAATATTTAATATTTTTTTTGAAGGTAAAATAAATCACAGTGAGAGTAAACGAGTTTCATAATATGGACTAATTGAGAATTGAAGTACTAGTCTTCCTTCCCCAAGCTGAGGAAGAATATTTTTGCTGAGTTCAAATATTGTGCATTTAGTTGAGCAATAGGTTTCTTTGGGTTTTGGTTTAATGCATTTTGCAAACTCAGCTATTATTGTTTTGAAGCCATAGTTGTCTAGAATAATTTTAAAAATATAGGCCAGATGAGCAGCAAGCAGCAATCGCACCTTCAGAGGGCCCTGTTGAGTCAATAAGGTTGCAATGTGTGTGTTTGTGTGTTGCAACCCTTTGCAATTCTCAGTGGGAGGCCACCTAAAATAAAACATTTAGTCATTGCAGCTCAAAGAAAGTCTAACAAAACCAGTCTTCCTTCCTAATAAAAAGTAATGGCATTGCTCTCCCTGTGTTACTTTAGCAAAATGGGTCAAAAAATGTGTGATTGCTTTTGTGCTGTTGTGAGTTACTACTATTGTCAATAGTCATTGTTTCTGAAAGATAAAAATGCTATATTTACAATAATAACAAATGATTATGGTCGTGATTTGGGATTCCCTCTTATTTAATTTTGCTCATTTAATATCGTTTACAAGAGAAAAATGTACAGGTGGGGAAGACCCTTACTTTCCTTTTAACTATAAGGGCTAAGAGACAACTTCTCTCGCCTCAGAGGTATCTTTTTTTTTTTCTTTCCAACTGTTGCAAATCTTCAATTGAAAGAATGTGGGATTATCCTGTCTTGATTGCTGGAAAATAAATATGGACCTGGTTTCTTGAATCATGTAGTAGCTGAAGCTAGCTGAAAATACCTCTCAAATAAGATGGGTATGAAAAAAAAAAAACCCAGAAAAGACAGCTCAGGAAGAAGAAAATTTAGGAGAAGAACATGAATGTGGGAGAAAGGCTAATTGATATATTGACACACTTAATGGATAACTCATTTTTTTAATGATAACTCGTATTTTTTATTTTCCTGCTTTGACTATTTAACTTAGATCTGAAGATGCAAGGAAACTGCTGGCATCTCTTTGCCTTTATTTATAGCCCATTCCTAGTTTTAATAGAAGAGTTGGAAAAGGAAGTGTGTGGGGTTTTTTTGTAAACGAGGGAGCTGAAAGATAATACAGAAAGTTGTGGATCCCTAAATAGGTCATTACATTGTCACTTTAAGGCCAAACTTTTCACATTGTTTAATTAAGCATCTTCCTGTGCTTGTTTTTCTGTAAAGTTGAAGGACATAACCCTACAAATGCCTTACTAGGTTCCCTTATTGTTGATATAAACTTCTGATTGAAGTTCACAACATTGATCTTGAATAGCAATAGCACTTAGACTTATATACCGCTTCACAGTGTTTTACAGCCTTCTCTAAGTGGTTTACAGAGTCAGCATATTGCCCCAAACAATCTGGATTCCTTATTTTACCAACTTCGGAAGGATGGAAGGCTGAGTCAATCTTGAGCCTGGTGAGATTTGAACTACCAAACTGCAGTCAGCAGAAGTAGCCTGCAGTACTGCATTCTAACCACTGTGCCACCACGGCTCTTATAGGATTGTAAATGTTGCTCTCATGTAACTGGACAAGGAGAAGAAGATTGAAGGGAACGTGATATCTGTCTTCATCTTTCTGAAGGATTGTTGTATAGAAAATGGGAAAGAATTGTTCCAGAAGGCAAGATGAGGAATGGCTCATTAAAATTACAAGGAAGTAGATTTTCATTGTGCGTTAAAAAAAAAAAATCCTCATGATAAGAGCTGTTCGACAGTGGGACAGATGACATTTGAAAGTACCGTCATTAAATTTTTTTTGCTGAGGAGGTTTAAACAACGTGGAGGGCCATCTTCAATGAAGTTGCAATAATTCTTGCAGTAGGTATGAGGTTGGATTGGATGATCTCCACTTTTTATATTCCATGATTCCATGTACAAATGTACATTCGCACAAATGTACGAATGCTCACACATACAAACACACCCATGTATATTTGAGGGCCAGTTTGCTGAGTGGCTAAGGCATCATGGTAGGAACAGGCCAGCTGGGTGACTTTGGGCTAGTCATCCCCAATCCAGAAAGAAAAAAAATAGGAATGAAGTGTCCACTACTGATAGAAGCTTTCATACTCTAGTTTATAAAGGTACATTTCTGACTCAAACACTATTAACTGTTAATACCTGGTTATATAAAAAGGACAATACTACGTTCATTAATCTTATGGTACACCAAATCTGAATATCTTTTGTGCAGCTAAACTGGAATGCAACTTTATTTTGCTATTTTGTGTAAAGTTCGTGTGGATTTTTTTATGCTCTCTGATCTTAAACAAGTATTCCCTAGGAATAGTGTTGCAATTTTCAGCTGTATAAATCAAATATTCACAGCAATGAAATGGTTAAATTTCTTTATGAGGACCAGATGATCAGAGGGCCAAGGATGAAGCAATACCTTAATGTCCTATCTTGGCAAAGTCTTGCTCATTTAGAGTAGGACTCTTTCCATGAATAAATGTTATTTCTTCTGGGATGGTTGAATTTTCTTGGCTTTGGATGAAGGAAATGTTCTAAACTCTAAACATTTCTTTATCTATAAAGAAATATTAGCCAACAGTCCACAATACTGCAACAATGAATCAAGATAAAATCCAGAGTAGTTTCAATAAAGTAATGATGAATCATATACAGCAGGATTATGTTGAAATACATTAGAAATTATGTTTATTTATAGCCCTATAGCCCTACAGATCAAATAAAGTGTACAGTCACCATGGCGTTGCTACTTTTTTTTATTGAAAAGTTTTATGAAAAATACAAACATTTTCACTCCCCCACCCTCCCCTTCCCACCCTCCCTTCCCCTCCCTCCCCCCCACCCCCCTCCCTAGACTTCCCAGAACGAGCACAGGGTATAGCATTCACAAACCAAAAACTAAAATGTGCTAACAAATTATTACATTTCATATTCTCCCTAGATCCTTAACTCCTTATAACTCAGAAAAAACAAACATAAACTACTTAATATTATTTCATTCATAAGCTATATGAATCTTCTTATTCGGATACTTCTTCTGTAAATAATCAATCCATTTTCTCCATTCCGATATATATCTCTCATTTGAATGGTCTTTAAGGTATGATGAAAATTTTGCCATTTCCGCCAAATGCACAATTTTTAATGTCCATTCCTCAATGGTAGGTGGATCTTCCTTCTTCCAGTACTGTGCCACCAGTAACCTGGCAGCCGTTATTAAGTTCAAAACCAGCTTAGTCTCTATTACAGTACAATCCGTAACTATTCCCAACAGAAAAAACTGTGGTGTAAATTTAATTTTTTTCTTCAAAATATTTTGAATAATCCACCATATTTTTATCCAAAAAGCCTTAATCTTTTTACACGTCCACCATATATGAAAATATCTAGCAGTCATGGCGTTGCTACTTAACAATTTTAACTGTAATAGGATAATCTCAGAACAAAAGGACCATAGAGTATGTATTATAGATCATACCTAGCAAATTTACAAACACTGTCATCTATTTGTTGAATACTATTGTGGTTGTTGCACATAATACATTCCAACATATATTCCAATGAAATGCATTCTGATAAATAAATGACACATAGACATCCTTTTCTAGATTAATTGCAAATTTATGGCTATAAATTTTTCTTTTTTATTAGCTGAATAATTTTTGTTTAGTTTCTCTACATAATTTTGCTTGCTTTTGGGAGGATTTATAAACTCTTTTGAGAGAGTTTGAGGCTTTTCAATAAAGACTTGATATGATTGGTTAAGAAGAATACCTGATTTGCCTTTGCTGCATTGCATTTAAGTATTATTTCAATATTAGCCACAAGAGGAAACAATTAACTTTTAACAGAACTTTTAATAGAAGGTTGCTGAATTTAATAGAATTATTGTTTTTACACAAGAGGGACCCAAAGGCAATAGTACTGAAAAAATTGCTAAAAAGATTTTGCATAGGATTTATTATTATTTTTTTATTGGAGGGAGCCAAAGATTTATCAGACTGTTCAGAATAAAAGAGTACTAAATAAACAAACTATTGATTTCTGATCCAACTTAATATAAAATAAAACTTTTTAA